GCTTGATAAGAGTTATTTGAGTGCCTTTTTAAAAACTTCAAGTATATCTAATTCTAGCCAGAAAAGTAGGTATTATCAAGATAAAGCTGTGTATGTTTTTATTTAGTCTTGATAGCCATATGCTGCAAAACAAAGTTCTTAACCTCACTACAGAACATCTAGTAATTTAAAAAAACCCAACAAATATCTGTGGTTTGAACCAAAAGCCTCATTTATTATGTGGTTAGTTCTGTGTACAAATAAATAACCTTTTTAAAAGGTTATCAGCCGTCTAGGCATTAGCTAGGAGTGCATTTAATATTAAAAATCCTATGCCTTTGAAGAACGAACACACTTACTTTCTGTATATACCCCACTTGTCAAAAGCTTCACGGGCAATATCTTTTCATCCACTCTAGTTTAGAAGGGAAAATAAAGTCTTCTCCCATCAATTGCAGTTATCTGTACACAGCAACCTTTTCAAGTCTTTCATAGTAGCTTCTAACTCGGATTTAGCAGCAGGGCATTTTTCAGCAAAAGCAGAAGATACTTCTTTCCAGCAGAGGAGCAAGAGTGTACTGGAGTCAGCTGTATCACGTGAATGGAATTGTTAATGTCTGAAGGATGTCACTGCACATCAGAGCCCAGCATCTGTTTGGGGCAAAAATCTGCTCCCACACAGAGCTGGCACAAACCCTGCTCTACCTGCAAGTGCCACTCGAGGAAAAAGAATTTCAGTGGCAGTTTTGTGTATGGGTAGAGAGAGATTAATATCTAGTTTCTTTCTGAAGAGATTATATAAAAAAACAAGAGATTTTTTACAGCAGTCTAAGTCAGCCCTTTTTCTTGCAATAACAAGGAAAAGATTGAATAATTCTAACACACCCTTTGGAGCACTATGAGAGAAGTCTGATAAGTTACCAAACAAACTACAGGTTGCACTGAAAAACCCTTACCTGAAGTCATGATCAATAAGCACGCTCCTCTCAGTAAGGCCACTGTTTTGATACTATTTCAAAAAACGTGCAAAACAGGACCAGGATAAATACATATAGCAAAGGACACTGGTTTATTGAACTTGATTAATTGGAATATTGCCCTTAAATGAAAATGAAACCTGAGATAAACAGAAATAAAACTCCAGAAGGGAGACACTGCTGTTGGCATAACAAAATGGGAACGTGAAGGTACACAGCCTGAACAAGTTCAATAATTAAGACAGTTCTCCAGAATAAGCAGCAATGTTTCTGACAGGGATGACTCCACCCTAAAGTGCCTCTTTTAAAATAATCTGATTAACCATTTAAGTTCCAATATGCGTCATTACCAGAAATAATAAAGGACAGACTTGGACAAAGTTTGCCTGTCACGTTATGAAACAGACAAGCTATCAAGTAAAATATACCTTGCTTTAATCTCGAGCATTGCTCAGTATCACAGGTAGACTATTGCTAGGATGCTGCAGCAAATGTTTAACTGTGACAGTTCTACAAACTGTACTGCAGACAATCATCTCAGTGAGAAATTCCAGGGCAGACTTCTAATCAAACTGTGGAATTTAGTCTAGGAAACTTGTGGGGACCCGTGGAGTTCCTAAGCAGACAATCTCCCTCACCTCTCCAGGGTAACGTCTCCTCTTTCCTCTGCTTTCTCTCTCTAGACCGGGGAAAAGAAAGAGATCCATTGTGAAGGTCAGAGCAACTTCGTTATCAGGTCTCTTTTCAGACTTAATGCAGAAGCTCCTGAAAGCTTCCTTCCCTACCATACTTTTCTCCAGCCAATAACTTCAGCATCTGTACACACTGCTAGACAGCTTTCATTTTAGGTAAAATACTGAGGTACCCAAACAGAACCACAAAAAAAGAATAAAAATATTATTGAGATTTGTGCTTACTCTTCCCCTTAACAGGATTCTTGAGCATCCAGACACACAATCTACTATAAGCTTTTGTTGAGTAAAGGACATATCCTGGCTTGATCAGTACTGTAGGAGTTAAACTGGCTGGAAGAAACAAACAGCTTAAGTTACATATTTGCACTGCAAATCCAGAGCACTAAGGTAGCAGCTTCTGATGCAGGGGGTGAGTCTCCCCAAGAAAACACATTTACCAACAACTTTATAGCCTTAGCAGCTTTTGCATGCTACTACCACCATTTGAAGTTCTAGATCCCACTGTACCTGCATATCCACTGAAGCATAGTAAACAAGAGTCATGCTTTTCCTAGTTTATAGTACCTACAGAAAGAAAACTGGAGGCAATTAGCAGTCAAGAGACTCAATTGGGGGGGGTGGGGGAAAACAGCCACCTACTTCAAAGAGCCAAAAATTAGTCAACATTGGAAAGCACCAAGCTGCTTGCAGACAGCTGTGAAACAAAAGTTTCAAGAAGGTCGGACACAGCCTTTTGTCAAAGCAGAAGTCTTGGCTCTAAGATTTGAAACAGCTCTTTTTCCTGCTCTTTTTGCAAGTTCATATGCTACAATTCTAACAGCATGCGAAAGACCTCTTGACCTTTAGGGCAAGCAACTGTAATAGCAGATTGCAGACACTGTTTCCTCAATAATACACAAAAACACCAAGAGTGACCTAAGCCTGCTTCTTGCTTGTTCAGACACACCTCAACCAAAGGCCTACAAGTAAGCTGGTGTACGTCTTTGCAAGTTAAGAAAGAATTACTATCAAAAGTAACTACGACAAAAGCAGCCTCAGAAGCAGACATACACCACAGCACAAATCCCAGGCACCAAAAACTTCAGGCCCTTACTACTGGCTTCCCTGTTAGCTGTCATTTGACAAAGAAGAAATAACCCATCAAATTCAACTGGCAACTGAGGGTGCACAATCATCAGACCTTTTATTTTACTCTTTAGAGAGAGGCTTATGAAAGAGATCACATTGAGTGGAAAGAAATAGCCAGAACTCCTCAGCAATGAAACAATCTACTGAGTAAAGAAATATTTAAGCAAAGTCACACAATCCATCATCTGATAGGTCATGTCTGAAAACAAGAATACCAAAGCATCTTGCTTATTTTACCATAAAAAACCATCTTCTATCTTACAAGTATACAAGTGTCTGGTAAAATAAACACCAGCCCCATGACCATCAAACCGACTTCTCATGACAAGTAGCTGTGAAACCTGAAAGATCCTTTTAACAAGTCTCCTTAAATTTAATAAAGTTACTTTAAGGGAAGTAAGGACCTGATCAAGATTGTTAGATTTGCTGGCTTACATGCACATTTTCATCTTTCAGCACTCAAATACAGTTACATGCTTTTTTCTACCTCCGTGCTATCTGTTAGAAACTTTTGTCCTTTTATAGGCCAAAGACAAAAAAGCTGTAGAGTTTACCTTCCTCAAATCCAAACGTACTGACCCTATTTTCACCCACTTAAAATTTTTCAATACTCTGCTCTTAAGCTGAATCTTGATAAGGGGATTTAAATTCACTTATAGCTGCAGCCAGTCCAGCAAAAAATGAACCTCCAGCACTTTCCTGTACGTGAGTCACAGACGCCAATATATTCAAATCCTCTGGCAAGTTTAGGCCCTAAACTTTTAAAAACACGGAGGATTTTTACCACAGCATGCAACACTGAACGTTTCCTTCTGCTTCCTTCCCACTCATTTACAACAAACCAACCCCAACGAATTTAGGGGGGGAGGGAGGAAATGGAGGAACCACCCCAAAACACAGGAACGAGAAACCCCAAAGCAGACGGCAGGCAGGAGTCCCTCGCGTTCGTCAAGGCTGCTCGTTCCCCCTTCCCGAGTTTAAATGCCACCATGATGATAACACGGCCACCCGCCAGCAGACCGCAGGCGCTATTTTATCCCTCCAAATGAGAAGTTTCCCCGTCCCTCCCACCGCCGCGGCCCCCGGGAGGAGGCCCGGCCGCCCCCCGGCCCGCCCGTGGGGCCTTTCCCCGCCCGGTCCGGGGCGGGCCGCCGGCCCAGGCCTCGGCGGTGTGGCGCACTCCGCAAAGCGCTCGCCCTCCGCCTCCCCGCCGGGCTCCCACCGCCCG